TATTTTACACATAACCACACTTAAGGTTTTTTTTTTTGTCTTTGCAAAACGAATTCAAACAGGGTCTGATACAATGCCCATTAAGGGCAAAGTAATTTAATCGGAAATACTCTCCTTTCTTGTAGCTTACCTGGAAAGCATGATACAAGAGGAATGCTCATGAACAGACTGGATTTATTTAGGAAACTTTTTAATGATTTCCCTGTCAGAAAGGGATATCTTTTTTTAGCCCAATATAGGAAGCAAACTAACCTCAACACATCACATCTACAAATGTTGAGTTTTACCTCCATGTCCACTTCCAAACCAGGACATAAGAGGTATATTTGATGGCAGGTACCCATGATCCCACAAAGAGCTCTTGATACTGGTCATCATCATGAAACTCTATGGTCTACAATATCCTATTATTTTAATCAAATGCTAAATACAGAGGGTGTCAAACATGTATATACATTTTAAGAAAGGAAAAACAATATTAAAATTTAATATTCAATAAAATGCATACTAGTCACGTTTGACTTCTGCAAATTACAAGAGGTACTCAAAGTGGCTACCATCAACTTCCAGACACTTCTGATTATGGCAAACATCTCTTAATATCACTTAAAATGTGTATAGATTTTTTTGACACCCCTAGTACATAATGCTGAAATGTCATAGCACATGAGAATATGGTAATTAAGATAAGGTGTTAATTGGGTAGTGGAGAAGATAGAAGCAAAATGAAATTAGATGTTGGATGACCAGAACAAATTCCTCTAGAATGTTGCTTGAGCATGACAAGAGCTGAGTGCTAAAGGATGGTTTGAAGACATTCTAAGTTTTTTTTTAATTTTGATAAAAACCATAATATGGCTTCCTCAGATACCCCATTCTGGTCTGTTAACATGCAAATGCTGGAGTTTTATCCCAGATTTATGGTAGGGAGTCGGTGGTGCAGGATAAGACTGAGGTTGTGACGCTTGTTGGCGTCGACCATGAAGACAAGCCACACTTATTCGTGTGCACACTTGAGGGAGTGTAAATCCTGAAAGTGGAGCCCCCGGGGAGATGCCCAATGATCCAGTTGTCCCAATGCCCCAAGTGAGGGAGATGGAACAAGCATGTCTCCATGCTATAAGTTAGTCTTCATAATCAATAAGGTCTCAGAGAGGTGGCTTTTCACAATGTCTTATGCTGAGTCACTTTATGTTGAGGAATAAATTCAGACTCATTTTTAAAACTATTAAAAACCTAATCACTTCTCAACCACACCTCTGACAATGAGTAAAACTGGCCATCTTATGTAACTAAATTGTATCTCTATTTCCCTTTTTAATTCTTTTTAATTGGGTGAGAGAGGGTCTATCTGGGCTCAGCTCTGTGATACATCTGTTCTCATGGCAAAGAAGCCATAACACTTATTGGCAGTAGTTCAGGCTAGGATACTGTACTGGCAAATGTTCACAGAGTCTAGTTGTATCTGTTGATAATTTTAGTGCTTTAAGAATCTTAGGTGAGAAAAGACTCTATCAATCTTAAAAATCTCATAGTTCAACCTGGTTTCCTTCAACTTGTAACTAAGATATTATTTAATTTCTTTTCATCTCATTTAACCTGAGCTTATGCAATAAGTTGTACAAGTAGTTTTATGTTTTCAAGGTTTTTCTTAGCTTTGGAACGACTCTCTGTCTCTCATCCTGACAGCAGAAAATGTATTGTGAAGTGAGAACTTGTACCTCAATAGTCACACATCCAAAACTAATGGGAAGAATGAACACACACACACACACACACACACACACACACACACACACACACACACACAGTAGGTTTTTGAAAGGGGAAAATGAGGCTTCTTATAAAAGTGCTTTAAAAATAGACTCTTTTCAATAAATTGAATAACGGCGCCTTCCTGACCTGCCCTCCCTTTCTTCTTGCCAAGCTGAAAGATGTTTGATTGTTTTAATTGGTCTGGGAATGTGTGGCAATGCTCAGTATGAAGTATGTTTTGCCAAAAGCTGCCTGAAGTGACCTAGAATTCTGAAGGAAGTTGGAGCCACATTGGGATCTCCCCCACCCACCCTCAGGAAGTCCAATGTCACAGCTTAAGCAACTCTGATCATTCTGCACCCTTGTTGCTTCCTTTAATTTCCTGACAAGTTTTGATGCCTTGTCTCAGTGTCTAGTTCTGAAAATTTAAATTTAAATTATTTTTCTCTCTGAGAAGCTATTACTGGAGTTTTCATTTATTGGGACATTTTGTATGTATGTGAGTGTGTGTGATGTAATCAAGAATTAATTGCAACAGTATATATCAACATATATCTGGTTTGAAAATACAGACAGAGTCTTGGGCCATATCGACCCAGCAGGCTTTGCTATAGATAGTGTTTGAGTGGTTTACTTTCTACCAATGATTGGAGTCATTTCTCCCTCTGTATTTTTAGTTTCACAAAATAGGGGAGATTTCCATCAACATTCAATCTCACTCCCACCTACTTACCCCAAGTTTCTATAAGATAGTCTAAACTTGATCTCATTGTTTTATGACAAAAAAAAACAACAACAACATCAACAACCAAAAATCAAAAGAAACAAATCCACTGGGTCCAAGATAGAACTGTACCAATGGTCAGGTTCCTCACCTCCAGGACACTGTAGAAGTTCATTGTCCTCCAAAGAGGCTTCCCAGACAACGTGTCCAGTTGGGCAGGAGGCCTGTGTCTGGTCATTACCAAAAATGAAGGAACAGAGAATGCTAGTAAAAAAGAACACTGGATAATTTTTTTCTTCTTTTAAACATAAAACTTCTTAGTTTTTTAGAAATGCAAGTTCCCCCCCCCCACTTTATTCCAAATGTATTTAGCTATCCAAATATTCTGAAGGCAGATCAGAGTGATCAGTAAAAACTTTAAGAATAAAAAATCTATTCTGATCGCTTTCAAATAATTTTGGCAATTGGATATAGCCTAATGTGGTATTGCTGTAGATTCTTCTTTGGCATAAATAAAAATATGAGATTATTAGCTCTTACACATTGCATCCAAAGAGTGCTTCAAAAGTTCTGGAAAATATTTAATATTCCCCAAAGTAAGGAAAACATCCTCTTCACCCCCACCCAATCTCTTCTAATCCTAATTTTCATTATTCGTGTTCTCAATAAACATCTTTCTTTGGGTAAACTTTAGTACAGTCATTAGAATCCTCATGGATCACAAACTAGTGGGAACCAATTGAGGCCCTATTAGGTCAATTTATGAGACATTTCGCTGACTTTATTAGAAAGAAGCCCTGCTTCCAGGTCTCTTTAGAAGCACAAAATAGGTTTCTGAATTAACAAATCTTTATTTCCCTTCATGATCATATTAAGCAGAAACACACACACCCTCTGTGGGTTGGGCTTGGCATCCTGACAGGGCATAATTATGTCTTAGGAAAAGACAAATCAGAAAGCAAGGGTAAGTGAATAACGTGGAAGAGGAATGATTATGAACCAAGAGAGTGGGCAACCATTGACCTTGCTGCATCTAAGCACTGAGCTCCTCCTAGGAGCCCTTCCAGTTTATAAATCAATCTTTTCAAGATTTCAAGACTCTCTTAAGAGAAAGCTCATCATCAGTCTGCAGAGGGGAAGATCTTTATAACATCAACATACACATCATCATACAGTGACCTGGTAAGCCCAAATCAGAACAAATTACTGACAGTTACTAACTAGTTGTTTCCCAAGCTGCCTTGGTGGGTGCAAAGACTTTGGAGAAACTATTTTATGGCTAAGAGATTGTTTTGGTTTCGATGATCCCCAGGGGCAAAATTATAAGAACTGGAGGATTCTAGACTTATTCCAGGATGGACCACGGTGGACCTACTCACATGAAGGCCCAGGAATGACTCAATCTTGGGAGAGAAAGAAGGAAAAGGAGGAGGAAGAAGAAACAAAATAGCACCTAGTGACTCAACACTACATGTACTAGTACATCACACTTATTTTTATTAGTCCCAAACACAAACATATAAGGTATCTTTTATTCTTCTTTTGGTCAGGAAACTGAAATTAAGTGACTCTCCCCCAGGCCATTTAATTATTTAGTAAATATTTATTATGTACTTGTTTGAGGTGCCAAATAAACAATGGTGGACAGCACAAAAACTCTACATTTGCAGAGCTTATATTTTAATTAAATATTTTTCAAACTTCCTTGATTATGACTCACAATAAAAATATACAAACAGTGCCAAAAAAGCATATGCATTTTAAGCAACATCATTTATATATTGCTTTTTCAAAGTCGAATTAAACGATGGTAACAATGTAACAATGTGTAGTATTATGTTTGCTCAACCAGGCTTCCACTATTTTCTTTGACTGTCCTGCCTATAGCATGATGATACTAGCATTCATTTGATTACATCTTTTGAGCAAATGGCATACATAAAATATGTATACATTTTTGGCTCCCCTAACCTATCACATAATACATACTTCCTATAATTACACATATATTTGAAACAAAATTTTGACACACATACATACACACGCAAGCACACACAGGTTTATCCTTATTTCATGCAATACATGCTCTAATATTTTATTTTCTATTTTATTTCTTCTTGTTTAAAGCTGACCATAACAAATTAAACTGATTTTATGGTCTACTAAATGAGTCCTAATCTAAAGTTTGAAAACATTTTCTTAATTGACTTGAATGGAATGGGATTAGTATTAATACTAGTCAATATTAAGAACCCCAAAGTTATTGTGATAGCTCCAAAGCCTGGGGAGCTATCTGCATCTTTTCAACATACAGTTTAATGGCCAGGAAAAGGAAGATGAAAAGTGGAACAAGAGTTGTCTATCTCTTCACAGCCTGGAATGGTTTGGTGGAGGCCATCTAACTCCAGGTTGGATCTCTCAAGATGTTCAAACTCCATCTCGTCTTCATAGTACATCTTCTGTTTGAGTCCAGCAATAATGTTTTCTCTTTTTTCTCTACCCCTTTGTTCTTCTTGCATAGGCTGACAACAGATTATCCAGGCCACTATGGTGAGGAAATGGACATGGTTTCCTATAATTATGATTACTATATGCGAGGGGCAACAACCACTTTCTCTGCAGTGGAAAGGTGAGCAGGATAACCTCTTCCCTGTGGGTTAGGGGTTAGGGGAGCTGGGGCCAACTCCATGCAAGGATTATGTCTACAGGGATTTTGACCTGGGATTTTCCCTGCTTCAGTTTCCTACTTGGTCAAGGATTAACTGAGGATTTGGCTAGACAATAAGAGACAATGAGAAGTGAGCTTTTCTTATCAACTCACCTGCTACAGCAGCTCACTTTAGAGATGAGGATGGACTCCAGCCCTAAACTTGGTATCTCTTGATGTTCCGAGCTCTTCCTCCCACTCAATGTCTAAGAGCATTTTTCTTTACCAAACATGAAGAGAAGGAGTACCACTGTCAACATGAACCCTCTTTAATCCCTTGCTTCTATATGATCTCTACTTTTGAATGTAGGAAGGGAGGGGAAAGAGAAGGAAAGGGAACTGGGGAGAAGGAGCATACAAAACCTAATGTCTTAATATAAACAGGCTCCTTAGACTGGGTAATTTATGAGCAATAGAAATCTACTGCTCACAGCTGGAAGTTAGAAAGTCCAAGATCAAGGCTCCAGTAGATACAATGTCTGGTGAGGGTTTGCTTACTGCTTTAAAGGTGGCACCTTCTTACTGGGTCCTCACATGGAGAAAGGGACAAGCAGCTCCTTTCAATCTCTTTTAAAGAACTCTAATGGTTTGATCACTTTCCAAAAGGTCCCATCTATTAATATTGTTACATTGAGTATTAGGTTTCAATATATAAATTTGGCGGGGGCACCAACATTCAGACCCTAGTATCCACTAACCGTATTTAGAAATAAAAGAGGAGTAATAGTATCTTAACAAAACTGAAAAAAATAATGAAAGAAGATAATTTAAATAACTTAAAAAATAGCACTAGCTTTTTTCCTCACCTTTCTCTCACAATCAGCTCCCTAACCATATCTCAAATACATCAAAACAATAAGAAGAAAAACAAGAATTCTTCTTCTTATTAACATAGAGAGAGATGTGAGTAAATTCAGGTGTTAAAAATTGATTTGACCCATTTTTAGTCAGCTAATAATCACTTACACAGAAATGAATTCCTGAAACGTCACCAATAAATGTTTTGCAAGCCAATAAAAATTTACATTAACTCATTAGATAATGGATATGATGAATTTGATTTGATGTATTTTTTGAATATATCTGTATTTTCAAATAAAATAGCACCTCATTTAATTGAAATTAACTTATTTAATATGGCCTATAAATTTTTGAAGGAAAAGAAAGCCATGACATATGAAAAGTCATGATATACGTTGTGGGCCATCAATAGAAGTCCTTCTGTTTACCCCATAGGAAAGCCCCTCAGTTCTCATACATTTATTTATTTTTATTTTAGGTACATTTTTAACAAGCTCAGTTGCCTATTTTCTAGAAGCAGCAAATTTAAAAAGAGAAAAGGGAACATAGTCCTTGGAATGAAACTCATAAAACGAGTGAGAAGAAATAGCTGAATGACACAACACACACAACAAATGTGTTAGGAAATAAGAAGAAAGGGAAAGACTCAAGAACTCAAGGAACAAGGAAGCCTGGTGTCATTCAACAGGGGCTTGTACCCCAAAGTGCAAAACAGAATCACAGTATCACAAGGTGCTCAATGATGTCTCCAGGTCAACAAGAAAGTTAATTCTGTATTCCCTGTTTAAGAAACCAGAAAAGGATACAGTAAGGAAAGAATGCCTTACAAAATTATTATGAAATAAATATTTCTGTACTATTATGAAAAGACAGTTAAAATGACCATTCTTGTTGGCTTAGAAATTTTTAGTTCTGCAGATTACTCTGAATCATTGGAAACAGTGATATTATGTCATGGCATTTATTTAAAATGAATATCTTCCACTCAAATATAATAGATATTTTCATGCAATTTTGCTACTTATATGAAAAATCAGTAGCTTAAAGACCCATAGTTTGGGTTTCTTTAGCTCTGATGGAAGATGCTGAGGACCCTCCACCTTAGAGAAATATTGTCAGTGCAGGAATCACTGGAGAAGGGCTTTCCCTCCAAATGCAAATTGTAGTGATCGTTTCTTGGAATGAAGTTTCTCAAGCTGTACACTCTTGACACGTAGGACCAGATATTTATTTGATGAAGGCCCTATCCTGTGCATTCTAGATGTTTAGCCTATCCACTATATGCCACTAGCACCTTGCCCCCAGCTGTGACAATCAAAAACATTTGCAGACATTGCCAAATACCCCCTGGAGAGCAAACTTGCCCCTGGTTGAAAAGTACTGTCCTGGGGATAAACCAGATACTAAGTCTGGTTGAATCCCTTGGTCCTCCTAGGACCAAGTCAAAATTTTGCTCGCATCAATTACCAGCCTCTTAAAAGAATAGTATGGTAGCTGGCCATAAGATCTTGTTTACTTGTGTTTGTTGGTATACAGATAAGTAAGACCTGGCTGCAGTAATAATTAAATTCATTTGGTAAACCCACATATGCCACCAATTTGCCAATCTCTATCTAAAATAAGCCATATCCTCTGTTGACCATTGTAGGAACAAATGCCAATAGTTGGTCACCCAGGCCCTCAAAGACTCTTGTTGGGGTACTGTATATCCACTTATTCTTTTTTTTTTTTTGAGCTGGAGTCTCACTCTGTCATCCAGACTGGAGTGAAGTGGCCACTCCCGGCCACTGCAGCCTCAACCTGCTGGGCTCCGGCG